ATATTTGCACCTCAAATCAGAGACACTTATTTGCAGTATTATTTCATGTTTACAAAATATTGATTTTTAGGCTACTTCAGCTAAAAATAAATCACGTTTAGCCAACACCTCTCAGACACTCAACGAACTATACCAGACACAATAAAGAAACTCTTTCTTTCTCACCTTTTAAACCGTCACGTTAACACCTAAATTATTATTCTCGTGAATAACTCACACACTTTCATTTAATGAATTATTGACGCAGTCACGTCACAGTGCCACTTGACGTTGGTGGCCTCATTAAACGCGGATTATTTAACGTTTCAGAGGATCGCGTGTTTGCATCTGTGAATATGTGTATATTACCTATAATATAGCTATAATCAGCGATCTGCGTGCACGCCATTGCAACGATAACAACGTACGACGATATACCGTTCTTTTTCTCTCTCCCTTTCTCTTTCTCCCTCTCATTTCTCTTTGACGATTTAACGTTTTTACCTTTCTCGTGATTCGTGTTTATAATTTACCGTGACGTTTCGAAGAAAAATCAAGCATTCCATATCTCAGCGTCGTAGTGTAGCTAGTAGTAATTTATCAATGCTACCACTTTTTCTTCTTTCCTTTCTCTTTGCAGTGCAATATCAGATTTTCTAATTTGTTGTTGTCTTCATTGTTACAAAGGTCAATAAATAGTTCGTAAATGTTTTACATTGAACGCAAGAATAGAACGTCAGCACGCACAAACATTTCGGTTCAATTTTAATTTGTTGTTTGTCCAAATTGCAAGCGAGTTTCAATGGTGAACTCCATTGATCAACAGCCGATGTGGTTTATTCGAGCGTTAAAATAATCTTTCGGAAAAACTCACTTGACCGCAAAATGCAATATTCGAGTGCTGCAACTCGGAAACAACCGTGTATACTTCTCGCTCCAATGGAGAGTCAACGCGCGCGTGAGTATTACTTTTTCCGAAGCGATCATTATCGTGGTACGCGAAATGGAAGAATGAAATGTAATTGATGGAGCACGCTAAATGCGAAGGGCGTTATCGGAACGCGCTTCACCATCCCATTTATCTCTGGATTTTCACACGCGCTCGCAATCCGCGTGTGCTCTTTCACGATGATATATTAAAAATTTAATCTTGAAAAATGTTCGCATTTATTGGCGTGCCAGCGTGTACCGCAATATCATCTTTATTAATTCGATATTTCATATAGGAGTCTACAAGGGTAATATGACAATTTCTATTTTTAAACGCAGAAATACGTTATGTTCGTTCTTCACAATTGGAAACAAATCGCAATTCAATTTAAAAGGGCTTACACATAGCTTACAGTCGTGAGAAAATATTTTTTGCGATACAATTTCATCGAAAAGTCAGGAGGTCTTATCGAAAACTGAAAAATCATTGATTGTTACCAGAAGTAATGTTAAATCCTCTCTCTTTGCGTGAAAAAAAAGTAGACAAAGAATCCCACCGCGCAGGTCCTCAAAGTAAATTCACTGAATGAGTTTCGATAAAAGCTATCGCATCCTTAAAAAAAAAAGAAAAATAAAGGAAGGGAGTGAGCGAGCCCTCGCAGAAAGACTATCAGGAGTGAGAAGATAAGTGGATTTCATAAAAATCCGTACAGCGTTCAAGAAGCAATTGGACGGCGCGCAGTCGGGCGCTTACTTGTCGGTAGCGAAGGCTTGGGCTTATTCTCCGTAGAGCAGCGAGACAAAAAGCGCTCGAGCTTCCCTCCTATCTCGAAAGCTTTAAGCTCCGTCTCGAGCGGCTTCTTGTGCAGTACTTTACACCCTCCTTTCCCTCTTCTTTACTGCATTTTTCTCTCTCTCTCGGTCTCCCACGCTTTCGTGCTTCTATTGCCGTATGTATCTACGTCGAATGACTCAACGTTTAATAATGCATCAATAACGAATTTAAACATTCATACATGAATCTGTTCTAATCTTCTGCATGCTAAGACCTCTTTTCTCGTAAAAGCAAACGATTAATTTTCAACAAAATATTTATCGACAAAAAAGTAAATTAAAAAAAATAAATTGTGGCAGTGTAGTTATAATCTTCGTGTGATATCGGACTATTAGTATAAAATTCCGAAGAAATCGTTTATAAAGAGTTGGTTTCCATTTTTGCGGCAAAATTTAAAAGCGTCACATTGTTTCGGAAAGTAATATCACGCTCATGAATTTCAGTAGCGCACCAACGGTATTCATGAATACGGAGGCAAGTTGAAAATTAGAGCAAGCTTAAACTCAGCATTTGGACTTGGCTCTGGGTTGGAATCTTGGTGCGCTTCGAGATTTGATTGATTGGCCTCAAACGTTTGCAATAGCATTTCCGATGACCTACATGCCAGCTCATTTCTATCTTCTGATTTCATCGATGGTCATGCAAATACACCATCACTTCGTAATATCTTCATTTTGACAAAACGTCGTTCAACAACTTAGTTTACACAATTTTGATACATTCAAACATTTGAGATTCTATAGTAACTACGTTTAGTTCTACAAGTCTGATAATATAATGTATTTTTTCCAAAGAAAGTTTGTGATCGATTCGAATCAAACAACTGTGATAAGAAAAAAAATTTGTAAAATCACTGAAAGAACAAGAACGACAATGTTCTTATAGTATAAACTACAAAATTGAAAGATTTCCAAAGTGATAAATCTCTAAAATGATTTTCTTACGATTAACTACATGTCTCCGAACTTATCAGCAAAACAGAACAAGGAAAACTAAACTAAAGAAAAGAGAAATAAAACCAAGTGTTGAAACTTTTCTTCTGTTGTGCTTTCACGGCAAAAAGTACGATATAACCGGTGCGCGCAGTTGAAGGCACTCTATTACACGGCGAAGCATCGAGAAGCCGAAGTGGGTAAAGGAGGCCAGCGAAAACAACGTACGCCATATCGAAGGTGATAGTGCAGCTTTTTGCGGGTGCGGTAGCCGCCTTTCTGCACTTTCGAGGTCCGCAATTTGGCCGAAAGAGTACCACCGCCGGCAACGTTGAGGTTAGACCGCAGCTTTGCGTTTTATAATATTTTACTCGGAGATACCAAACTCTTGGTAAAGTCTTTGGCTGATCCTTTACAATATTGCTCGGATATCTCAACAGTAAATACTTATTGAATTTATTGAAAGGTCAGTAAGATTTTTACTTTCGTAACTCTTTATACTTATTCATATTTATAAACTAAAGGATAGAGAATAGCAGTGCATGAGCTATTGATCAGGTTGAATAATGAAGTACAATAATATGAGAAAGAAATACGAATTGATAGGCTGAATAGTCGGTATTATATCTCATTAATGTTACACTAGTTGATAAAGCCATATCCTAATTTATCTTTTAGCAGATAAACTGCATAATAATAATAATAATAATAATAATAATAATAACAACAATAAAGTCATTCGTAGTTAGGAAATATGTCAGATCAATGCTATCAATAAGGTGATCGAAACTAGATTCTTTTAATAAAATGCTTGAAAAATGATAAAAATTAATTGTACGGAATATCGATAACCTGAACTGCCTTTCAAAATGAAATCAAGTCTGATCAATAAAGCAAAAATCAACGGATATGTATAGAGGGCCCTTGATGAGAACTCCAATAAAATTACTTTACTTCGTCATGAATGATGAGTTCTAGTTTAATTTAGGTCAAAATTAAGATTTTCTTCCCTGCAAAACTTCCCTTGCGAGCATTTAAATTCTCGCCACAGTCCTCATTTAAAATCTTTATATTCTAAAAGGAAATTGGGAAAATTAAATCTTTATATTCTAAAAGGAAATTGGGAAAATTACGCAATAAAATGCAATCTAAAATGAACAAAAACATTTTGTTACATTTCATAATGTTATAGACAAACCTAATCTCATTTTGCAAGCAAAAATTTCACAAACCGAAAGTGCTGTGGCTGAGCTAATATTGAAATTTGTATTAAAAACCTGTTCTCAAAAAAAACTGAAAAACCGGTACAATCAATCGTTATTTAAAATTAACGAAGGCAGTTCGTTACATCCAACAATGATGCAGAGTTGAAGGCAAACCTAATCTCACGCCACGAACATTAATTTCACGAACACAGCCAAGTGTTTATTGCTGAGCCACCGATGCCTTACTCTCTACGGTACTCTACATCTTTGTCTCTACGACTAGTGCAACTCGATTAACATGATAACAATCGGGTTCTATGTAATAATAACAAGCTCTCCTCTTGGCTAACGCACAAGATTTTGCACCAGTCAGTCTTTGAATGCGTGAAAGAGAATGCTTTCGACGTTGGAGCTACGCCAGAGCTCGATTGCTTTTTGAGTGGCAATCAAGAGAGGAATATCGAGTTTCGAAATTGAGCTTCCGCTGAAGAGAGAGAGAGAGAGAGAGAGAGAGAGAGAGAGAGAGAGAGAGAGAGAGAGAGAGAGAGAAAGAAAGAGAGAGAGAAAGAAAGAGAGAGAGAAAGAAAGAGAGAGAGAAAGAAAGAGAGAGAGAAAATGCATGCAATTAAATGGAGAGCCGTTTTTCATCGCTGCGCGCTTTATTCCACAGAGGGAAAGAGAGAGATAGAGAGAGAAGCCGTGATAAATTTTCCACGCACGGTCAGTTCATTTCTCGGGTCACGTGCGAGTTATTGATTTTCATGCGCGGTGCCATGCGAGGACTATTTATTCTTCTTTATTATAATAAGATCATAGACTGTATAATATATCTCTTATTAACTATAATAAGTTACGGATGCACTTTGATTGTATAATGAGTACATCAAACTTAAGAGATTAGATATTTCTATTTCATTTAAATTTGAATATTTTAGAAACATTTATTTGTGTATTAATTACGTATTTAAGAAAAATCACATATCGATTGTATTTTGATGGATTAATACCTTTCGAAAAAAACTTCTCTCATAACTTTCCGTGGATTTCAGAAGTGATATCTTTAATTTTTTATTAGCACTCTGATATTCTACTATGTATACTATAATAGCTCCTATATACCCGATTAATAAAAGCAGAAGCTGTGCAGAAAAATCATACAAGTCAACACTTGAGACACTTAATTTCTCCAAATTACAGACGGGCTTTCTGTATTGCCATCTCTTTACTTGGCGATGACGCAATCCAACTTCCAATATTTTTGTGAATCTAAAGAAATATATTTTTGATATATATATGTATGATATTATATTATTTTTAATAAAATAAAATTTTTAGTTATAGTTTTTTATAGTTTAAATTGAAACCTTCTTTTATTTGTTGTTATTTGTTTATATATAGAATAGTGATCAGAAAATGAGAAACTCTCTTTTATCATAAACCGAGGATATTTCCCATGTAGATTTTAAATTAGTGACTCGATAGCATTATTTACATTGACCCCTCCTTTAGACAATTTCACTCAAAAATATTCGGATTATATTTACACAATTTAAACATTAATTTACAATTAATAATAATATAATTACCCAATTCGACTCATTTCGATAATAGAGCTATTAAACCTTACTGCAAATCCTGACCAGTTAGGCTGTATAAAATTTACTTCTGTTAATTCGCAGACTTCTCGATTTTCAAAATGTCTTTCTATAAATGGGTATGCAACATCTGGATGCGTATGATATGCAAAACCACCTAATTTGACTAATGGTAATCCTTCTTCTGGTGGTAAAAAGCGATTTTTTTCCGACACGAGTGACCATCGCTTAACATAAAAGATTTTCATTTCCCAGTCATTTTTCTAGACGTATATATGAAAAAAAATTTTATCAAACAATCTAGTAAATGATTATACATATTTTTATTTAAAATAACTTTTCAAATACGAGGAAATTGCTATAATAATATTTTTATATTACTTTTAGTTTACTCTACGTACTTTAACATGATAATCGAAGTAAGTCATATATTCCGATGCTACTGTTACAGGCAACTTGGAAAGTTCGCTTAGGGAATCATTTATTTTGACTATTGGTTCATTAAACCGAGCTGACACAACTCCTGCCGAGTAGTAATTATAAGTGAGTAGAGAAAATATCATTATAAAGAAAAAAGTAATACGGGTAGATATATGATCCATTTCCATATTTGTGCCTGCAAACATTGTGAGATTAATTATCAAACTAAATTAAAAAAGACAATAGAGTATTTTAACCTTGTTGGCAAAAAGCTCCGATGGTGACTAAGAAAGCATGAGATAATCTCATATATTTCGACTCGATCCAGTCTAATCTTGCAATAAATGCTAAAAGCGCAATGGACAATCCTATAAATATTATCACGAAGTACCATACACTGTCCTCAAAAGGTCGTAATATTTCTTGGAATTTAATGTACTTGGGTTGTGGGTTGCGAAAAATAAAGCAAGTTCTAAGTATTTGATTGAAAAATACGTAAAATACATTTTATTGTCAGCAAATTTGTGTGAATGGTACTAGTACATATCGATACTGATGCGAGAAAGTGATCTAAGTTACGATCTAATTACGCTCGAGCGAAGCGAAGGTAAAGAGACCATATGAAGTAAAATCACTTTCTCTCACGTGTATCTACCTTTATTTTTGAACGTGTACGAGACGAGATTTGAAGCACGCTCGCTTTCTTGAGGGTGCGTAATCAAGTTCTCGCGCGCGGAATATCGAAAAGAATGTTTCTTTACCTGAATGGCCAATCTTGATGCACATATTTTACCCAGTACGTTCTTGGAATATTTTTAGCCATTGGACTGCCTATGATATCAGCTTTATTGTTAATTATGGCACGAATTACAGGACCAACACTGTCACCAGTTTGCCATTCAGGTGTTATGATACATTGTAAACTGTAATATAGGAAATATAAAATCATGCCACAAGGCTATAATATTATCACATACTTACTCAAAGTTCAATAGATCTGAAAGATGTCTTAATAAGTTAAACCCAAATTTTAATAAATTTTCCTTTTCAGCATGAGTATGGTCTTGAAAGTAATCTTCAGCAGACATCTCTGGAGGTTGGTATACAGTCTAATTATATATTTACAATAGTTAAAAGAATATTTAATGTAAAATAATTAATGAAGACTTTAAATGAAAGTAATTAATAAAAACTTGAAGATTTCAAGTGAACCTTGAAAAAAGCAGCACGGAGAATAAGGCCCCGCGAGTTTGAACGTCTCAAAAATCTGGTCTGAGTTAGAGCTATTTCCAATCCATTTTCTTTCGTCCAACTTCCTAAAAAAGTAATATTCAAGCTTCTGCCATATTCCCACCCTAAATTATAAGTATCAAAGAGTTCATATTCTTCATCATTTGGTGAAATCGCAATAACAAAGTCTGTTGAAAAGCCAAATACTCGATCATCAACTATATCTATAACGTGTGATAAATTATATCCTAATATCAACCAGTTATGAAGCTCGCCATACATTAAATTAGCTGATGCCTGAAGCAATAAACCATATAATACGAGTGAATTGTTTACGTAACTATGTACAGCTTACACACATATATACCTCTGAGAATATTAAAAGTATATGGGATGTATTGCACGAACGAGTATCCAAAAATATACCAACTTTATAGTGCGTTGTATTAGCTAATGCTTCTACAGAAGTAGTAAGGGATAATTTGGTAGTAGCGGCGAAAATTCCATGGTGACTCAGACTCTTCATTAGTAGAATATTTTCTATGAAAAATATATATCTTCTGAATCAAGTAAAGTTTAAACAAAAGTATAAAACTTTCACTTTAAGTGACTCGCTACCATCTTTATCACTGCAAGAATATCTTATGACATTCGGTACCTTCTTGTAATAAAAGTAGTCTGTAATCAGATCATTTGTGATATTTGCATAGACACCCATACTTAGTAAATAAATGTAAACAATGTTGATATTCATTTTCTGTTAAAAGAACAAGTTATTTATTTGAATATTTCTTATATAATCACATAGTTAAAATAAATTGCTTATTACGAACCATATGAAATAAATGTTCTACGATACTTACTTAACATTAGATATTTTTAATAAATAATTCAAACAATTTCATTTTCAATCGTACAGCTTTTAAAATTTAATCACATACTCTATTTAATAGGTTTTACTAAATTATGACAAATCATCAGATGAAACTGAATGTTATATTGAAGTACAGCGATATGAAATGTAGTGACATGAAGAGGTAGTTTGATGTGCTACGAAACTAAGCTCGAACCTATTTATCCAAAATAACAGCTTTTATGTGAATTGGAGAACATAATGTAATAACAATGATTATATCGATGCAAATTCAGTTGCATCAAGAGTAACTAACAACATCAAGTCGAAATTTACATGAATAGTAAGAGTAGTTTTCTAGTCAAGTTATTTTTCCCTACATAATAACTATAACAACCAAACTATTAATTTCTAATAGTTTTTTCATTTATGAGGCAAAATGAAAATTAATTGCTAACTTAATAATTAATTAACGTATAAAGCTATTTAGGGCTATTGAGCGTATATACGAATATTTCGCTCGCTCAACCAATAACCTCGGAATCGCGTAAACAAATAACTCTGTTATAAACTTTAACGTCGACTCACATTTTCCTGTTTCAATGAAAGTTAGTATTAGCAATCTAACTATAGTTTCATAAATGTTTATGAATTGATTCGCGTGTTACTATTTTAGAACACTTGTTAAGCTTCTATAGAGTATTTTGTGTAGACATTGACGTAAAACATCACAATTTACTAATCATCGTAAATTATCAGATGTTAATAATGTAATAATTAATAATGTAATAATAATAGTTACAAATTAGTCAAATTAAAAATGAGTGCATGATACAAAAAATATATAATAGATATCTGATAAGGTTTTGTTTTTTCAAAGGAATAGTATTTTTTTAAATAATTGTTGATAACATTCATCTTCATAGTAAATTTGTTAAGCTTTGGTCTCAATTTAACTCATTATTTTTAATGAAAGTAACATAAAGAATGAGTTTAAAAATTATCAGTTACATAATAATAATATTTTCCGATTTCGGTATTCTGTTGTAATTTATTGTCAAGATTTAATATTATTTAAACAAATTGAACATATAAATGATAAAATAAAACATGTATCATAATGGTCAGAAGAACAAAGTCCTATTTATTTAATTATCATATTTTTATTGAAAAAATATGTGTTAAGATTGGACGTTTTCTTATATAACAAGGTCGTAGAAGTGCAGGTCGTTGTAACAAAGATAAGATGGTGGCATATTTAGAAAATTACAAGTTTTCATTGCACAAAATCACTTAATTGAATATAATAAGGAAAAAAGGTAGGTTTTCCGATACTAGTTTGAGAGGTAATTTAGATAGTTGGCTCAAAGAATCATTGTTTTTTTTACAATAGGTTTATTAAAACGAGATAAAACTACACTGGTTGAATAATAGTTGTAAATGAGTAGACCAAATACTATCATGGAATAAAATTCAATACGTGTTGAAATGTACGTCATCTGCACATTCGTTTCTGAAAAATTCGTAAATAATAAATTTTAATAAAAGATTTACAGCTGTGAGCTCACCTTGTCGACAAACAGCTCCAATCATCAAAAGAAAAGATTGAAATGACGTCATCTTTGTAGACTCTATCCAAACATATCGCGCAATAAACGTTAAAGCAGTTGTAACGGATTACTCTCAGGTATGTCTGAGGTAGACGTAATCTCAGGTGCTCTTTTGATTTGCGTGTGACGCTTAGACCGGAAGAACCGATTGGGGAGAGACAAGCTTTCTAATTTAACGGCGCGCGCGCGCGCACGTGTGTGTGTGTACATATATCTTTTTTTATTTTATTTTTTTACTTCACGAGAGCTTCATCAAATACCACGACTTAATGAAGTTGACTCTTGTGAGTGGGTATTTCAAACCTTACTGAAATATCTACTTAGAAAAAAAGAATCGAAAACGACCCGATTATCTTATTCAGCGGTATTTCAAATCCAGTCGAAATTTAGCTCTAAGACTTACAACTCGGGCACGGATAATTTTTGTTAGAAAGGAAAAGAGAAAAAGAAAGAACGCGATTTGGAAATAAAATTTCTTTTTACCAACTTACTTTTTATTCTTTTTCGGATTTACGCTTAATATCATTACTCATAGTGTTTTGTAGGTGTTCGTTGAGGTTGTAGCCAGAACTGTCTTCTTCGGCTCGCGTGGCCGTTTTTAATCCCTGGGGATGTTTGAGAGAAAAATCTCACTCAATCCCTTAGAACTGAGAAGAGTGGAATGGGCAGCGATTTTCTTATTGGTTTGCCAAGGTCTTTACATTTTTTTCGTTCGATTTTTGGGCCCTAATAAGTGCGGCGGCGTGGGGAATACCGTGGGCGTGGTCTCCAAGCATGCGCCACCGGTCAAGAGATGGTTCCCTACGTACCAATATCTATTCTATTTTTATAACTAATGTTTTTTTTTCAAATACACAAAACTTTATAAATTATCTTTTATAATAATACGTCTTACAATACATTTAAATATGTTTAATGAATAAAACTCAAATTATCTATATTCTTAGCTTGTGATTTAATTAATAAACTTTAATCGTTATTTAAGCATTATGAAATTGGAAACACAAAATTGTGCATTATAATCATGATTTATACTAAAACTATTTACATAGCATTTGCTTTATTTTCGACTTAAATTAATAATTAGTGAGCTAAAAACATTCAATTAGATTATTGGGTTTTTTTTATCTTTTTGACTTACATATGTTTTGCACAATTAGTTTTCAAAGTTTAGTATAAAAAGTCATTGCTATTTTAATATGATTTAATAATACTGATTATTTTATTTACTAAAAACCATCTTAATTACTGCATGTGTAGATTTAACTTTGTGTCACGTAATGGACTTATATAATACCATTTAGTAACGAAGGAATATTCCAAATAATTATCAATTTATCTGACTTATTTAACAAAAATGGTTATAAAAGTTAGGCATATTTTCATTATTTATTATGCTTCTGATAAAAAAAAACATGAGGAAGGTTTCAAGAAGCTACATTTTTTATCCATCATCCTGTAATTTTCTTTATTTTGTAACTCAAAAACGTTGTATAATTTTCTTTCCTTTGTTAAATTTTAAGCCTCTAAAAAGGTGAAAACTGTTAGGAAAATCGTGAAGCAGGATATAGATAAAATTTTGCAGTCTTCTCTCCCTGTGTCTAAACCTAGTTAAAAAAAAATTTTACGATCATTCCGTGAAGAGTAGGTGTAAGCGCGACAAAGGAGTGAACGTCCCATATCGTGGGCCATCTGTTTTGTCTCTTGAATTACAGGCTTTTTCCTTTTGTCGGTTCAAAAAGACTTTTCTTATCCTACACCCGTACTAAAGTCTAAATTACGCTCGTAATAAGAATAATAAAAATAAATTCTAAATTGTAGCTATGATAAAAAGAGTTGAGAATAATTAAACTTATGGCCCAACGTTACACAGTAGTAGCCGTGCCGATAAAAATTGCTTTTAAGTTTTATACCAAATCATTTAAAGGCCAAAGTATTTCTTCTATTTTAATATCTGATGGTTATGGATTCCGAAATATGAAGCATGTTTTTTATTTATTTAATAATAATTGATACAGAGTTTGCGTAACTAGATAACATAACTTATGGACAAGAAACATAATTTACCTGATAGGCTATATTTGAGGTAAAAGTGTTATCCAGTAGGTTCTTAGAATATTCATAGCTATAGCACTACCTGCTATACCGCATCGTTATTGACTAACGAACGAACTAATGAACTCATACGATCCCTAGATTCCTATTTAGATATGGTAACACATTTCACCCTAAAGAACAATTATTATTTCATATTATTACGATTATTATTTCATTAATTCGTAATCTGTTCTTATGTAATATTACCTTTTACCATACTTCAGCATACTTTTCAAGAATACTGATAAGAAAGAATTTTTAGCTTATCTAAAATGGTAAAGCTCTGAAAGGTGCATTAATAAATTAAATCCACTTTTAAGTAAGCCTTCTTTCTTCGTAGTTGAATAAGTTTAAAAATAATCTTCTACAACCATATCTAACGGCTTGTATACTGTCTGTCAATAATTTTCATAAAAGAAATTATCATGATCAACATTTTCAGTAAATAAATATCAAACTACCTTAAATCATGAAATTCGTAAAACTAAGTCATGTTAATCACTTCTAAATAGTTTTGATTGACTAGAAATGACATTAAACATTCTTTTCTTGCTCCAGTCACCTAATAATATTATATTGAAATTACCAGCACTACATTTTGTAATATTAAATGCATCATAAAGTGAATAATCTTTGTTATCTTCAGATGTAATTGCAATCACAAAATCTATTGAAAACCCAAATGCTTGATCATTAATATTGTTCACGACATCATTAAGATCATACCCAATGATCAACCAGGAATGAAGCTCATCAAAAATACTACCATTTTTAGCCTGAGTCATAAAATTTATTTAGATATATTTTCTTTTTTTCTTATTCCTGATTTATTTCATGCCTCTATTGCTATTTTATCTCTAGAAACATTGAATTCATGTAATTTACATTATAGCAACGAGTATCTAAAATAATACCAAATTTGTAATAATCCGCTTTTTCGAATGATTTTATCACAAATGTATTTAGCGCAGTATTAATTCTCTTGTCATTAAAATTTCTCAAAAATTGTGCATCGTCTGAAGTATAACATGTCTTAATACAAATTAGGCGTAAAAATATTTTGACTATCTGCATGACTTTACATTATACGTTACCAATGATATTATTACAAGAATATCCTATGACACTGAATACTTTTTTGTAATAAAAGTAATCAAAAATAAAATCATTTGTTATATTATTATACACATATGTAACGGATAAAAAAAATTATAAAATAGGAAAATATATTTTTCCTGAATAAATAAAAATAATTAATTTTAATGGATCATAATAATTGAG